ATTTTATACACGAGAGCTCTTCTGAAAATGTCTGTTAATTTGCACTAATTGCCGAGGTGGCGGTCTTTGGAGGGGTTGCTACCGATAGCAATTCTAGGAGGATCAGCATGAGGTTTGAAAACAGCGTCAGTGTTTATGCTTTGTGTTTGCGGAGGACAGCTTGTGTACGAGGATCCCCGCTTCGCGTTTCAAGGAAACAAAACGCTAGTGAAGACGAGCGGCTAATCACGCAGACGATGTGCATTTGAGCACGTTTTTAAGAAGTCGGGAACACAGCTATGAGCACAGGGGTAACTTTGTGTGCCCTTTTACAGCCTTTCTTACTAACTGATCCATCCATTTTGTGTAACTGATTTTCTAGTTGAAATCATGAAGGTTCAGGTAAACATAGGAAATAAGGCACGGCGCCCCCTGGAGGGCCCGACTGTAAACACACTCACTAGTAATAATGTTCTATTATTTACAAACATCATTTGCTGCTGAATTCTGGGAGTTTCCCTTGAGTGAGACAATCCTCTCACCCTTGAGACCATGTAAAAGACGTTGGCGTTTCCGGCTACACCGAGGATGCGAAACTGTAAATAAGTGAGTCTGTAAAAACGCCCTTGTCCTCCTCATATTCTCACTCAATGCACCCTCACGTAATTGCTTAATTAGCACCTAGCAATTATGCAGAGATGGTTTTTTTTGTTGCTTGAAATCCCCTTGAAATTATGCAGGATTAAATAAAGTTTAGCCGTCTTGGAGCAGGCATGAGTAATTTAATTGCATCTCAATCCATTAATTAGCATGCAACCTACTTATTAGATGCATGTATTAATTAAAGGGCAGCTCTGATAAGGTGAGCGAGACACAAACGAAAAACAATGAACGCAGGAGCGGGTCTCTTGATGCCGCCTGCCGGCAGAGGCGAAGGGTCATTACAATGTGACGTGTCTTTATACTTTCATCTGAAAGAAGGTACATTCTTAATCCACCAGGGAATTACTACAGTTTGCTGACTGAAATCTGCCAACTGATTTCAAAGGAGCGGATAATGTGTTCGTCCTTCTGTGCCGAGATGCGTTTGATTCGCTGTACTTTCAGACAAATAAACCTTAGTAAGAGCGGCCAGCCTGCCAGTGCAGCTCTGCTGTATGGCTAGGAGCCACAGGATATCTCAATCAACTCCCCCCATCAGACACCATAAGAGTGTCCCTGACCAGCGTCTCTAGGTAAACGGGCATGTAGAACCAGGACTGGTCGAAGCCCATGAGAGACCGACCCGGTGCAGACTGCGGGAGACAGATGCCGTCATCATCGTTCGATAAACGCAGGTGTGGCTGAGAGAGAAAGAGCTTCGCTGTCGTGTGTCTTCAAGCTACATTTTTCACATGTGAAGAAAATCTGCTCAAGCGTGCATTTCCCGTGACACAAAGCAGACAGCAAACGACCCGCGGTCCGACCTGCCGGTGAAGCAGGGAGAGAGGACAAGTGACAGGCTGCACCGGCTGCCAGCTGCCGGCATCTCTGTCAGTGTTGGGGCACGTTTGTGTGGTCTCACCTCACTACGGCACGCTGCGTAAACAGAGCAGGTCGTAACTCACAGTGCGGCTGGCGTTCAGGCCTGGCTATCTAAACACGCAACAACAGGACAGCGTAACATCCTTCATAATTCCATCAAGCAGCCCCATTTCTACTCTGATACCTCTGTGCCTAAAACAGTCAGAGCTGGAGATGAACACAGTGGCATGTAATATGCATGACACTCCTTTGAAAGACATAGCGGTGGGAGTTGGAGGTGGATACGGGGTCATGCGTATTTGAGTCCCGCATCAACTCGACAAACCTTCAGAGCAGAGACTCTTTACCTCCAAAGCTTCTCACGCACCTTATTTCATTGCAGTCCTGTAAAGATAGATATAGATTTTCCTGTATGACTGAAACGTCCCATGTCTTTGGACCAAACCGGGAAGGTTCCAGAAGGTGCCGTTTATTTCACAGTGGAATTCAGCTCCAGCACAGGGGTCTCGCGGGATTTCAGCGGGGCAGAGCTGTAGCCTCACCGCTTTAGTAACTCCACTCACTGGAGGAATCTCAGATCACATGATCCTGCACGTCCCTCTTTGGTGATCCAGAGTGAATTAGCGTTTATACTGCGCCATATTACCTGAAGGTTTTCCAGCAGAGACATCCTGCTTCAGGACGCCCAGTGTGACTTCCCTCTGCCGCAGGATTTCATCATGTTGCATCTTACAGGTCCTTAGAGTATGGAGAACTGAGCTGGCAGGACTTTCCAAACCCACCCGATTCGTCATCCACAGGAGTATTCGGTGGCTCACAGCGATACAGCAGCAGGACGCCGCACAGCGAGTCTCTGTACACACCCCACGCTGCACGCCTCGATGATCCAAGGTGCGCCTATCCAGCTCCTATGTGGTCTGTCTGACATGCCCGCGATCTCTGCGTGATCCAGGTCTCTCCTCACTCTGATCGGCTTTTCTTCCCAAACAAATGCAGTACATTTTTAAGTAAAAGGTGTAAAGACATCCACAGATAAGATCTGCTCCAAGCACTGGAGGTCTGAGATAACACTGGATGCTGGAGTGGATTAAGAGCAATAAACACTACAGTGTTTACTAAACATAAGCTTGTAGAGTGATTGCTTTAAAAAAAAAGGCATTGGAATAATAATTTAATTATAAAAGAATGATTTTTCTTTGTCGATGTGTTCCTCTCGTGAGAAAACCTCCGTGAAGCTTTGACAACCATCCAGGCCTCCCAGAGCAAAACTGACTGATTGTGTCCCAGTGCGATCTGAGCCGCTACACATTTAGCCGATGGGTGTGATGATTTTAAACAAAGGTGACATTAATAAGGGAGATGTTTGTGCCAAACTCCATATAATCAGTAAGTGATCCCGATATTTAACCCTCAGAAATTTTAATAAGCCCAAAACTTTAGCTAATATGAAAAAATATTTAACATTTACACTGCAAGCTTTTCTAACACATGCTGAACAGGCCCAATAATAATGTTTTAATTGAATTTTAACTTAAGATCTTGAAAGAAAATTAGAGACACATTTTAATTGAATGGCTGGATCATGCAGCACCTGGACCATTATAAATCATTCAGTATCACTTTAACAAAAGTGCCTGTGCGTTTGAGCACTTTACCAATACAGGGGTTAGACGCGTCTGCCTTCTGATAAGTGTTAATAAATTACCCGAATTTCACAGCTAATGGCTACCCGCCTGCTTCAGGGAGATATCATTGTGTGTCATGAATATTTTGATTCTGTGATTAGATTGAAACGCACTGAATTCCTAAACAGCCACAGTGATCATTAACAGGCTGCGTCTACAAATAAATGCCACACCACGGAAACCCACTAATACGCAATAGCCGCAGGGGGTTTGTCTTCATTTCCCCCCTAATATTTCCCTAACATAAAAAAAAATCCCAAACTGAAGATCATAAAGATAATAATCAGTGCAGGTCTTCAAAGACTCACCAAGCATATACCATTGCAGACTAGACTGTGATCCATGCTTCAATGTCATTGGATGAGGGTGTGACTGAAGGCGAGGTCATTTGATTCATTTATTTTGCATTACATTTTATTTAATTATGAGATGGTTTTATCCATAGTGACATACGATTGAGAACGCAGGGTCGACCGGTTCCTGGAGCAATTGTGGGTTAAGGATTTTGCTCAAGGACCCAACAGTGAAAGCACTCAGCCTACCCTGGGATTTGAACCAGCAACCTTCCAACTACAGGCAGAGTCACACACTACCCTCCCATTCATATTGTGTTATTCGATTCCCCAGATCGTTCACTCATATTATGGTGCTGGACCCCAAACCCTGTGACTTCCAGGGAAAATCCGGCTATGTTTTCACGTCTGATTCCGCTCGCTCTGGCCGAGCTCAACTCCGCAGTCTTAGGGTTGGCTTCCCCAAATGGATCCAATACACCAACAGGGGCAGACTAGCAATAAAAAGCAGCCGGGGAATTTGCTGCTGACTGGGGGGGGGCATTTTGCTTATCAGGATCAACCAGTTGCCTATATAATATAAATTAATATATAACATATAATAAAATATATAATGCATTAATTAATTGGTTGGTTCTTACAAGACCAACACACTGGCAAAAGATCCCCGACTTCCTGATGTCCTGTTTGTGCCTGTATACCAGTCTCCACTCCTGATTCCCAGTGAAGCTTCTGATTCCCCTTCCCACCCCTGTGCTCTGTGCTTCTGTCTGGCATCCTACCCCGAGCAGACCTTACTAATGTAAAATAATGAAAAATAAATTAAATCAAAGCATGTACCTTTTCTCTGTTATACTCGGCGATAGGATAGGAGGTTGTGTTACTCATGAAACGTGCGCTTACGCAGAAAAAATGTTAAGACAAACGAGATGGACGCAATTAACAAACTAAACAGGGCTGAAAGTGAGACACACAAATGCGGGCATGTAGAAACACAGAAGGTAGATTTAATTATTTAGCATATGTCCCAGCGGGGCTCTTGACGTATAAACACTTTGTTCTAGAACATGGGGAGCCCTCGTTGGACTCGCTGACACCACAATCACATTGTTTAGATGTTCTGTCTTTAATCAGGTGTGCATATGAAGACCAGGGTGATCCATGAGTCCCCAACTATGTAGGATCGGTGGCATTCAAGGAGGGGGGGGCACCGCCGAGGGCCTGGGGGGCGAGGGGAATGGCGGCCTGCCTTTCTGAAGCCTGGGCTTGTTAGTGAGCAGAGAGAGGAGAGCCTGCAGATGGCTGTCAGTGGATTATAGAAAGCTACCTCCATTAAGCAGCCCCGCAAACTGGGGGGGGAACAAGGGGGGGGGGGGGGGGGGGGGGGGGGG